CCAGTTGAGAAGAAACAACATAAGGATAATCAGGGTTGTTTCTTCTGTAAGAAGCCTGGACATGTAAAGAAGGACTGTACAAAATATCACGCCTGGCGTGATAATAAGGGTACGTTCCTTGCTTTGGTCTGTTCTGAGGTTAATTTAGCTTCAGTACCTAGAAACACTTGGTGGTTAGACTCTGGTGCTACTACTCACATAAGTGTTTCTATGCAGGGTTGCCTGAGCTACCGAAAGCCAAGTGATGTTGAAAGACACATCTTTGTGGGCGACGGACAATCGGTAGATGTGGAAGCAATTGGGCACTTTAGGTTGTTGTTAGGAACTGGTTATTATTTGGATTTAAAAGATACTTTTGTAGTACCGTCTTTTAGACGGAATTTGGTTTCTGTTTCTGTATTGGACAAATCAGGTTATTCTTGTTCATTTGGAAACAGTCAATTCAGTTTATCTTTTAATTCAAATGTTGTGGGAACCGGTTACTTGAGTATTTATGACAACCTATATTTGCTTGATACAATTGCTTCTTACAATGAATCCTTGCATGTGGAATCACGTGGTACTAAGCGTAAATTAAATAAGGAAAATTCGGCGACATTATGGCATAAGCGCTTAGGTCATATCTCAAAAGGTAGAATTGAGCGTCTTGTGTCTGATGGCATTTTGGATTCCCTTGATTTTTCGGACTTCGACGTATGTGTTGAATGTATCAAGGGAAAACAGACCAAAGTGAAAAGATTAGGTGCCAACAGATCTTCGGATGTCTTAGAATTGATACATACGGATATTTGTGGGCCATTCCCTACGGAATCCTGGAATGGTCAACAATATTTTATATCATTCATAGACGATTACTCACGTTATGGGCACCTATATCTTATTCATGAAAAATCTGAGTCTCTGGACATGTTCAAAGCCTATAAAGCTGAAGTTGAGAATCAACTCAACAGAAGAATTAAAACCGTCAGATCTGATCGTGGTGGTGAGTACTACGGTAGATATGATGGTTCAGGTGAACAACGTCCAGGACCATTTGCTAGATACCTAGAGGAATACGGTATCGTCCCACAGTACACCCTTAAGACAGCAGCTTACATTCTGAACAGAGTACCAAGTAAAGTAGTTGCTAAAACACCTTATGAGCTTCGGACTTCGAAAGCCCAGTTTAAAGCATTTACATATTTGGGGATGTCCAGCTGAGGCAAGGCCTTATAGGCCAAATAAAAAGAAATTGGACTCCAAAACAGTTAGCAGCTACTTTATTGGGTACTCTGAACGCTCTAGGGGCTTTAAGTTTTATGATCCCACTATAAGGAATATTTTTGAGACGGGAACAGCAACATTCTTTGAGGATGTTGAGTTTGGGGGGAGAAATAAGGTTAGAGACATTAGTTTTGAGGAGGAATTGGCTTCAGATCCAATCCATACAGTTACTTTTGACAATATTCAGGTTCCTATACCTGTTGTTGCTCAAGAAGTAAATCCGGAACCTCAAGATGATAATGTTGAACAACTCCCTGTTCCAGAAGAACAAACTCAACAACCTCAAGAACCAGTGCCATTAAGGAGATCCACGAGAGAAAGGAGAAATGCTATTCCGGATGATTATATTGTATTTCTCCAAGAACATGAGGAAAGTAGTGGAATGTTAGAAGATGATCCAATCAACTTCTCTCAGGCCATGAAAAGTTCTAACTCTCAACAGTGGATTGATGCCATGAATGAAGAGTACAAGTCTATGCAAGACAATAAGGTTTGAGAACTTGTCCCATTACCAGAAGGTGCAAAACTAATTGGTTGTAAATGGATTTTTAAAACCAAGCGGGATGCAAATGGTAATGTGGAGAGGTATAAGGCACGTCTTGTGGCTAAAGGCTATACTCAAAAGGAAGGCATTGATTATACAGAGATTTTCTCACCGGTTTCATCGAAAGACTCTTTCAGAACAATCATGGCACTCGTTGCTCATTATGATCTTGAGTTACATCAGATGGATATTAAGACTGCATTTCTCAATGGCGACATTGATGAGATGATCTATATGGTGCAACCAGAAAACTTTGTGTCGGGAGACCCAAAGAATATGGTCTGCAAATTAAGGAAATCCATCTATGGACTCAAGCAAGCTCCTCGTCAATGGTATCATAAGTTTCAACAAATAGTTATCTCGTTCGGTTTTGAGATGAACATTGTTGATGACTGTGTATATCACAAGTTCAGTGGGAGTAAGTATATTTTTCTGGTTCTGTATGTCGATGACATATTGCTTGCCACTAATGATATAGACATGTTGTACGAAACCAAGAGATTTCTATCAAAGAATTTTGAGATAAAAGATCTTGGGGATGCCTCTTTTATATTAAGGATCCAGATACATCGAGATCGCTCTCGGGGTATTCTTGGATTATCACAAAAAAGCTATATCGATAAGGTACTTAAAAGGTTTGGCATGCAAGATTGCAGACCAGGTGACACCCCTGTTGCTAAAGGAGACAAATTTAGTCGTAATCAGTGCCCTAAAGGTAACCTTGAAATTCAGGAAATGCAGAAGATTTCTTATGCTTTGGTTGTAGGAAGTCTAATGTATGCTCAGGTATGTACGCGTCCGGATATTACGTACATTGTCGGGATGTTAGACAGATACTTAAGCAACCCTGGTATGGATCATTGGATAGCAGTCAAAAGGGTTATAAGGTATCTTCAGAAAACAAAAGATTACATGCTCACATACAGAAAATCAGAACAGTTAGAGGTCATTGGGTATTCGGACTCTGATTTTGCTGGATGCCAAGATAGCAGGAAGTCTACATCAGGCTACATTTATATGTTATCATGGAAAAGTGTCAAACAGACACTAGTAGCTTTCTCCACTATGACAGCAGAATTTGTAGCTTGCTATGAGGCATCCAATCAGGGAATATGGCTGCGAAATTTTATCACGGGACTGCGCATTTTGAAAAATGTTGAAAGACCACTAAAGTTATATTGTGATAATAAATCTGCAGTAATGTATTCCAATAACAACAGGAGCTCAACTAAATCAAAACATATTGATATTAAGTTCCTGGTTGTGAAAGAAAGGGTACAGAGTGGACAAATATCCATAGAGCACATTGGGACAAACTGTTTGGTTGTATTGTCTGATCAGAATAAAGTATTCAGTTAAGACACTCTGCTACATTATGTTTGGTTTTGACCTCACTAAAGGAGAACCAGTTGAAAATAGACATGTACTGATCACATTGCATGTAATTTTCATGCTGCACATCCATGATTGATCTGTGTCGTTTGATTGTATTGGTATATGTGACCATTGATGGGTCGAGTCACGATAAATATGACGAATGCCGCTTTGATCCTATATTGATATAGTCAATGGACGAGATTGTTCGGAAATACCTTTTCAGTGATAGCAATTTTGAGCTCATAAGGTTATACACAATTTAAGGAATCATATGGTGCCCAAGTGGGAGATTGTTGGATTTAATCTAATAAATCTAATTGTGGGCACATATGATTAATCAATGTGTATTGCTATCTTTCAGGATAACCCACTAAAGTGATCAATTAAGTTGGGTTAATGGGTATTTAAATATAATCATGGGGTTATATGTGCAGATACCAGGTTGTAATTGTGATTTATTGAGGGGCTAAATTACAAAAGTACAACATCTATAAATAAGGGGTTATGGTCCCTAATCTAGGGTTACTATTTTTCTCTAATTCTCTTCACCCCCATCTAAGAGAGAAATTCGGCTATAGAGAAACCCTAAGGTTAGAAGATCCAAAACCCATCTCAGGTTTCATTTATGGATTCAGGTATAAGCTTCCGCTCTTTTGATTATTGTTAATCTCTTCGAATTAATCATGGCTGTATGGTTTTAGATCTCAAGTTTTTATTAGATCTAACAAGAACCATAAAAATAACCACTTATTAACTCCTAGGAGGGTAAAGTTGTCCATCCGCATAGTTTGATCCAAAAGTGATTACTCCAATCACCTAGAGGAAGAAGACAGAAAATAAATACAAGGCCGCCAGGCAAGCAACCTACAGCAAGTATAAGAGAAAAGAAACGAAGACAAAAGGTAAGATAGGGCATATCCCAAAGGATAGGCTCACAAAGATCTGACACGAAGGATAGATAAGGGAAAATAGACCAAATAGCGAGAAGGTATGCATGTATACAATATGCTAAAAACATTAAAAAATAACTATAAAAGGCAGCACGGATCGAAACCAGAACAAAATAGATAACATTCAAATATACATGCTTACAGTCATTATTATCTAAACCACTCATGCAAAAGAATCTCAATTAAATAGATTTCATGTCATATACCATTTCGTCAATCTAATCAATATTCCCGTAATTAGCATCTTATTTGGAAAAACCTTCGATAAGTATATGTGTACAGCTCACATGAAATCCGACAGTTTCTAGTATTGACCAAACCCTCCTATATTGACTATCCTAACTCACAAGCACTACTATGGCCCCACATATCTCAAAGATTCAGTCCATTGAAATTAAACTTATTAGATTACTTTTTCTTAGTTCACTATACATGAAATGTTATACACAATAGTAGAAAAAGTACGTCCTTGACGGGCAATCCCATCAATGATTCCCATAATCCAGTCCTGTCAAGGATATGTCATCGGCATATGCCCCATCAAGGATGTTCACATCCTTGACGAGAGCCCGTAGAGGATGAACATCACTAACAGCAACATCCCTGACGATATTAGCCGTCAAGGATGTACAAACATCCTTGATGGGATAGGCCGTCAAGGATGTTAGCAACATCCTTGACGGCAACCTTGTCAAGGATGTCCATCTTAACAGGAAAGCCGTGAAGGATGTTCATATCCAGTGAAAAAAATATTGCTAAAAATATAATTTCCTGAATATAATACATATATTTCCTGTACAACAAGGGACAAATACACAATTCATCGACAAACACAATATTCTCATAATTTTCAAATCCAAACCACAGTCTACATATACCTCACTCAAGTGCATCCATAATCCACACACAAAAGATCTCATACATCCAAGATACACAATATAAAAAAAATTCTAATTTCACAATCTAATCAAATAAAATAATCCATATTTCCCTAAGAGGAACATGTTTATAGTATCCACAAACAAGTCTAGGATATAGAATACTATAAAATCCAACAAACACGTCACAATCCTAAAAAAAAGTGTAAGATATATAAGGTACCACTACAAATAATCGAGATGAAAAAGTGCACATCTCCCATACATGTCCAAGATACGAAATGATAAAACTCACTAATTGAGATCTTCTTCCTCATTCGTATCATCCTCGTCATTGGTTGCAGCTCCATTCCTACGACTAGTGCTCCCATGACATCATCTCCATACTAACAACATAATAATTCCTATAAGAATCACGCATTTGTACTTGGTTATGGTGAGCTCGGATGGATATAATAGTTGAAGTGATCAAGGATATTCACATTTGATCTGGCAGTTTCACGTTTAAGGTTACTAACATAGATAGCAGTGGATTTTATGGGTAGACGCATATTAAAGTGTGTGTAACTACTACATAAAATATGCAGGATGAGCTTTATGTTGTGATTTATGAAGTCATGTTAAAATGCATTAGGATTCCAAAAGCCTAAGTAGATATCCATCATATTAAAAAACATTTAGACAGAAAGTTCTGAATATTTTAAGATAAAAGTAATTAGACAATATAGTTCAGCATGCAGAGTTATTATAACTCCAAAGAATATAATGCAATAAAAACAGAACATACCTTTCAATAACACTTACCTTACAAATGAATCATGCCACATGGTTCAAATTTGCTTGGATGACAATATAATCAGCATCCGCTATCATCACAGAGGCCAGCAGGACATTGGACTTATCAACTGCTCGGGTCTTTGTTGGATATTTCTCTTCTAATTCCTCAAGTTGCTTCTCCATCTTCTTCTTTCTAGTTCCCTATAAAATCCCAAAATTGGTTACCAATATAAGATCCCAAATAAATTATCACAAGAAGTAAACTCAAATCATGTTCCAATTTACAAGGACTATTATCTAAACATATTCTTCGATAAATTCAAGAATTGCTTATGCTAGATTATCCAAACCCTTTTGCTCTTCCAGTCTCCCAATGAAAACTATGATAGGCATGTTCCTATCTACAAGCGATCCAACTTCTGCTTGCAATGCTTCTTTATTTAGAGCTCTTCCCTCTATCACCTATGAAGAATTTCTATGAGCATGAAAAGCTGAAGAAATAAGAGATGCACAAGAAACTGGGAATAACTCACAGTTTTTTCGTCATAGTTGGCATCAATATATTTATCTTTTGGATTCCACTCCTGAACATCCATCCTATTCATAATTTCAATGATGCCAATCACTCGTATAATATCGTGCAGTTTAACTACCTTTGTCTTCTCCTGAGACGAGCTCTTGGGCGTAATAGGGACTAACAACAAAGACCCTAAGATGAACGTAAATTTTCTTTAGTTTATGCTTTTTTAAGTTTCCATCAAGTTTCTTGAATTTTGAACAATACTTGGGCTAGATAAAAGTTAAGTCCACATGCTCATGGATAACTTAGAAGAACATGTTGAAGAGTATGGTCTAGGAAGTCTCTTGCTCATATGTTCATGTAGTTCAACTGCTTCAAGTCAAATAATTGAGTAAAATTCAAAAGGAAATTGTTTCTCACAAGGAAGAATTCATCGACTGAATTACAACTTGATGTCAGCCGCCCACCTTATCAGCCCACTCTTTTTGACGATTGCTAAAGGAGGTGGGCCCCATCTACTTCAAATCACCAGAAGCCCAACAGCAAAGTTTGAAGAGGAAAAGAAAACAAAAAATGGCGGCCCCACAACATAGTAAAATATTAATATTTTATTATGCATAGTATTTTTCCAAACCCTATAAATATGCTTCAAATCCTTAAGGAAAAATCATCCCAGAAACAACTCCTCATATAGAAAAGTGAGAGAGAAAGAATAGAGAGAGAGTATATTCTTGTAAAGAAAGATTATAACTCCAGAGTTTTCTCCTCATAGTCAATTCTTCTATTCTTACCCGTGGACGTAGACAATAAAGTACCGAACCACATAAATCTGTGTGTCTAACTTTTTATCTCTATTTTTGCTCTACTATTGCTGTGACCCTGCTCTATTTGGCCACGGGTTTGTCCCAACAAGTGGTAACAGAGCCAACTTAGGGTGCTTGTATATATTTACTTATCGTATGCTCTGTGGCTGCCACCGAAGGTGGATCTTCTACATTAAAAAATAAGTTAGGTTATCATTTACCCATTAAAGGTGATGGGTACTATTCATGAGTACGGTATTGTACATAAATATGATACTATTCACAAGTATGTTACTATTCACAGATACGATTACTGTTCATAAATACAGTTATTATTTACGTGAGATAGTAAGAAGTTACTGTTCTTGGTAGAAGCAATGGCAGCAAAGTTCAAGATAGAGAAATTCGACGGGAGTAATTTTTCTCTGTGGAAGTTAAAGATAAATGCTATCTTGAGAAAAGATAATTATCTAGCAGCCATCGGTGCAAGGTCGGACGATATCAAAGATGATAAGAAGTGGAATGAGATGGACGAAAATGCTATTATAAATCTTCATCTGGTATTAGCAGACAGAGTGCTGTTAAGCATAAAGGAGAAGAAGATAGCAAAGGAGGTCCGGGATACTCTAACAAAGCTATATGAGACAAAATCCATGCATAATAAAATTTTCTTAAAAAGGAGACTTTACACTTTGAGGATGGTGGAATCTACATTGATGACTGACCATATTAACACCCTAAGCACACTGTTCTTCCAACTCACAACGTTAGGATATACAGTTGGTGCGAATGAACGTGCGGAACTTTTACTTCAGAGTCTACCTAACTCGTATGATCAACTCATCATCAACCTGACAAACAATGTCCTTACAGACTATCTAGTTTTCGATGACGTTGCAGCTGCTGTTCTGGAGGAAGAAAATGGGCGTAAGAACAAGGAATACATGAAGGTAAGTTCGCAACAAGCGGAGGTCTTATCGATGACAAGAGGAATATCAACGAAATGTGGCTCTAGTAGGAGTCATACCCATGGTAGATCAAAATCTCGAAGTAAGAAGAATATCAAATACTACAACTGTGACAAAAAGGGGCACGTCAAATCGGAGTGTTAGCACAATAAGAAGAATGAAGATAACAAGTCTTCGGAGCCTTCAACATCTCAAGGATGCGTTGTCAGCATATCAGACGATGGTAAAATTCTATTCAGTGGAGCGACCATTGTTGATGAAGGCAGAAGGAGGTTTGCTGATGTCTGGCTTCTAGATTTAGCAGCCTCCTGGAACATGACTTCTCAAAGAGAATGGTTTCATAAATATGAACATCTCTCAGGAGGATCTATATTCATAGAGAATGATCGTGCCTTGGAGATTTTTGGTATTGACACTATCAAAATTAAAATGTTTAATGGTACAATACGCATCATTCAAGATCTGCAACATGTGAAGGGCTTGAAGAAGAATATATTATCTTTGGGACAATTAGATGAGCTCAGGTGCAAGACCCATATCAAAAATAGGATTATGAAGATTGTTAGAGGGGCGCTTGTAGTGATAAAAGTAGAAAAAATATCTGCAAATCTATACATGCTCAAGGGAGAGACTCTGAAGGAAGTTGTTTCATGTGTGGCATCAACTAGCCATGGAGAAGAACAAACCATGATGTGGTATCACAAACTAGGCCACATGTCAAAACGAGGTTTGAAGATTCTCTCCGATCAAAAGCTGCTTTCTGGACTTAATTATATAGTTCTTCCATTCTATGAGCATTTTGTTACAAGTAAGCAGTATCAGCTGAAGTTCAACACATCGAGTTCTAGAAGCAAGGCTATTCTGGAACTAGTTCATTCTGATGTATGACAAGCACCAGTTACATCATTGGGAGGAGCAAAGTACTTTGTGTCATTTATTAATGATTATTCTAGGAGATGTTGGGTGTATCCTATCATGAAAAAGGCGGATGTGTTCTTAGTCTTTAAAACCTACAAAGCGCGGGTCGAGCTTGAATCTGAGAAGAAGATCAAGTGCTTGAGATCAGATAGTGGAGGAGAATACACAGACGATGAATTCCTAGCATTCTGCAAGCAAGAAGGCATCAAAAAATAATTCAGCACTGCTTATACTCCTCAACAAAATGGAGTGGCGGAACGGATGAATATAACTCTGTTGGAAAGAACAAGAGCTATGTTGGCAACTGCAAATATGGATAAAGTCTTTTGGGCGAAAACAGTAAAAACTACATGTTATGTGGTGAATCAATCTCCATCAACTGCAATATAATTGATGACGTCGATGGAGATGTGGACTGGAAAGCTAGCTGATTATTCTAACCTCCATATATTTGGAAGTCCAGTGTACGTAATGTGTAATGCCCAAAAAATTACAAAGCTGGATTTAAAATCCAAAAAATGCTTATTCTTGGGGTATGCTGATAGAGTAAAGGGGTATCGCTTGTGGGATCCCACTGCCCGCAATGTGATCATTGGCAGAGATGTTATTTTTGTAGAGAATTAACTACAAAGTGAAGAAAAAGAAAGCAGTTCGAGGAAGGACTCGGAGACTGGTTCAGGTAGAAGATAATACGAATTCTTCTGAAACAACACTGGAGCAAGATGTATAAGAACAAATCGAGTCTGAGGCTCCAGAAGCTCGAAGGTCAACTCGTGAGAGATCTTGAAGAATAAATTTACATGGAGATCTTGAAGAATAAATTACATACTCCAACTAGAAGGTTTTAAAGAAAAAGAGAACTTGGTTTGCAGATTGAACAAATCTCTGTACGGTCTAAAGCAGGCACCGAGGTGTTGGTACAAGAGATTTGATTCATTAATCATGAGCCTTGGATACAACAGACTTAATTCGACCCTTGTGTATATTTTAAGAGGTTTGGTAAAAATAACTTTCTTATCTTATTGTTGTATGTTGACGACATGTTGGTTGCAGGCCCCAACAAAGTTTGTATCAAAGAATTAAAGGCTCAGTTGGCTCGGGAATTTAAAATGAAGGATTTAGGATCTGCAAACAAGATTCTATGGATGCAAATTTACAGAGATTGCAAGTCGCTTTAACATGCAAGATTGTAAGTCAATTTCTACCTCACTTCCTGTTAATTTCAAGTTATCCTATAGTATGAGTCCTAGCATTGAAGAAGAGAGAATGGACATGTCTCGAGTACTGTATGCATCAGCAGTGGGAAGCTTAATGTTCGCGATGATTTGTACAAGACCAGACATTACACAAGCAGTGGGAGTGGTTAGTCGATACATGGCGAATCCTGGTAAGAGCATTGGAATACTGTAAAGAGGGTTCTAAGATATATTCAAGGAATCTCAAATGTTACATTATGTTATGGGGGATCTGATTTTATTGTCAGTGGATATGTTGATTCTGATTATGCAGGTGATCGTGATAATAGCAAATCCACCACAGGTTATGTGTTTGCACTTGCTGGCGGAGCTGTAAGGTTGGAGATGGTGCTGGAGGAACTCGGTTATAAACAAAAGAAGATATCTCTATTTTATGACAGTCAGAGTGCTTTGCATTTGGTAAGAAATCCAACCTTTCATTCAAAGATCAAACACGTTCGAGTTCAGTACCACTTCGTTCGTGAGAAAGTGGAAAATGGAATAGTGGACATGCAGAAAATTCACACCAAAGTCAACATAGCTGATTTTTTTAACAAAAGCAGTCCATACCAATAAATTTATTTGGTGTCGATCCTTTTGTGGTCTGACGGAGATGTAAGCAACATGAAGATGACAAGATAGAAAGAATGGTGCGAAGATATGATTGATACTCAATCAAATCTTCAAGTGAGAGATTGTCAGCAACACATCTTATCTGCCCACTTTTTTTGACAATTGTTAAAGGAGGTGGGGCCCATCTACTTCAAATCATCGAAAGCCCAGCAACAAAGTTTGAAGAGGAAAAGAAAACAAAAAATGGCAGGGCTCACAGCAAAGTAAAATATTAATATTTTATTATGCATAGTATTTTTTCAATCCCTATAAATAGGCTTCAAATCCTTAAGGAAAAAATCATCCCAGAAACAACTCCTCATATAGAAGAGTTAGAGAGAAAGAATAGAGAGAGTATCCTCTTGTAAAGAGAGGTTGTAACTCCAGAGTTTTCTTCTCATAGTAAATTCTTATATCCTTGCTCGTGGACGTAGGCAATCAAGTATCGAACCATGTAAATCTGTGTGTCTAATTTTTTATCTTTATTTTTGATCTACTATTGCTACGACCCTGCTCTATTTGGCTCGGGTTTGTCCCAACACTTGATAATTCAATAAAAATGACGTGTGAGCCAACAATATATAATAGCATTATGAGCTAACATACCTCCAATCAAGAAGCATCCAGAACAGAAACACTCTGTTAAATTCACGAAAAGATAGGTAGAAGATGCCTATCCTATTCAAATGATCAAAAAAGATTTAGATTACATGATTTTACTCAAAGGCCTATTTGTCTACTAAGTATTGGAACTCCATGAACTAAAGCATACAACTTTGGTAAAATCCATTCTTAGTAGACAAGGTGAATTATAAATCATTATTTTTCCCAATTTAAAATGGTAAATTTAACACATCTAGAAACAAATTAATTCAAATTCAGGAAAACTATTTGTGGACCAACAA